TTCATTCTTTGGTGAATTTCCTCACTCACTTCTTCCATTTGCTGGGAGACTAAATTTAGTTGGTGTTTTTGAAAATGGAGTAAATCAGATTGTTCTTGAAGTTCTTCCAAGATTTCTTCTCTTTCTAAGCGAGATTGGGCTTGTTCTCTTTGAACATTAGTTAATTGTTCGTTAAATTCTTCCAAAGTTTCTTGATTATCCTCAATCTTTGCTTCTATAATTTTGGTTTGTCTTTGATATTCAGCTTCTAAATCTTCTAAGGATTGTTGAGTATCCGCCGTTTGTTGGTTAATGGAAGCTTTATAATTAAGAAATTCATCCTCTAATTGGCTTTTTTCTTTGCGAAGATTTTCTAAGTTAGTAGTAGTTAACTTAATGCGGTCATGAGTTTCCCGAATTTCATTTTCTCTTTGTAATTTCTCTTCTTCTATTTTGCGTTTATTATTCAGGATTTTTTGTTCTTGTTGGGCAAATCTTTCGTTGACTTCGTTACGGAAGTCATTAAGGGCATTAGTGAGTTGTCTTTCTACTTGATTAAGACTTTCTTGAACTCCTTCTACTTGTCTTTCTAATTCCTCTTTGGCTCGGCGTAATTCTTCTTTTTGCTCAGCACTAGCATTTTTTATTTGTTCTTCTAAATCTTTTTTTTGCTCTGCTAAATTTTTTTGAAGACTAGACCTAATACTATCCATTTTCTGACTAAGTCTTTTACCTTGGGCTTCTATTTTATTATTGAGTTTGGTTTGACCTTCTTTAAGATCTCCGATGTCAGCAGAAAGTCCACTAAACGAGGCTTCAATCATTAAATCCTTTACACGATCAACTGAAAATTCGAGACCGTGAAGTGCTGTTTCGATAAAAAAGGCGGCACCACCACCAATAAAAGGAACTGCTCTTACCAAAGAAACACCACGCCTAGCAAATTTAATTCCTTCTTCAATTGCTCCAAGGACAAAAGTTCCACCACCTCCCGCACTAAGATTATTAGGATCTATTTCATCAAATTTAACATTAAATCCGGCTTTTCTAGCAACTCATCCCACACTTTTATCAAAAGCTCTTATAGCTGAATTAACTGCACTAACTGCTGATTTTAAGGCGGGACTGACTTTTAATTTATCACGGTTAGTAGTTGGTTGTTCTCATTGTTCGTCTTTACTGGGTGTATCGTAATTTTCTGACATATTTTTTTTAGTATTTGTTTAGTTGTTAGTTAAAAAATTAATATTATGGTTAGTAATTTGGAAAGTATTAAGGAAATAGAAGAAGAATTAGCGAGGGTTAGATTAGGAATTATTGAAGATGAAAAAGAGTATAAGGCATTACAAAATAAAATAAACACCTTCTATATAGGATTTCCTCTTGGACTTGCTTATAGTATTTGAGGTTTATGGTTTTGCATGTGTCTTTACACCGGAGAAGGAGGAAAAAATGCTTTCAGTATTCTTGGTATTATTTTTTTAGCCTCTTTTCTTTGAAGTTTATTCATGCTTTTTGGAACTAGTGCGGGACAAAGAACTAGAAGACTTTATTACCAAAGTATTCAAAAAAAAAAAAAAAAAAAACAGTTGGAGCGGAAATTGAAACAATTAGTTTATTTATCCAAAGTTAAGGGGGAAAAATAAAGATTTTCTTTTACAAGGAAGAATTTAGGGAAGGGTGAAAAATAGAGATTAAAGGTGCTTTCTTGCTCGTCCGTTAGTTTTACGAGAAATATCTTTTTCATTAATTATCTGTAAAGGAATAGTCAATTTCTCAGCATAATCTATCAATCTATCCAAAGTAAATTTATTAATTCGGCAATGTAAAATGTCTTCGGTTTCCGGAATACTTAATTGAATTTGTTTAGCTAACTTTTCAGTAGTTAATTTTTTCTTTTGTTGTTGAACCAAAATTTTTTGGCAAAGATTATATTTACTTTGCTCTAAAAGACTAGCATCCTTAGGCAAAGCTTGGGAACCTCTTTGGTAATTTGGATCTGACAACTTATTACAAATTTCAGTTAGTTCTTTATCTTCTCCGAAGAGTTTATTAAAATTTCTTTTTTTCATGACTATTTTCTACGAAAGCAGTTAATTACACCTAAATAAGAATTATCTTTTCATAAACATCAAACTAAACGATAAAACTTATCTTGATAAGAAATATTATCTAACATAAAGAATTCTCGATCAGGATTAGATTTTTTGTCTTCTACTGGAAATGTTCCACCATCTAACGATTTTACTAATTCTAAAATAATTTCATCTTTCATATAAGCAGAATGGTTTTGTTCGTAGTGAGAACTAATAACTATCTCATCTATTTCTCGACCATTAACTATTATTGTTTTATCTAATGGATAACTACGATAATCATCTGCTTTTTTAGGCATATTTATTAACTTACTTCTATATCTCATATTTTACCATTCCTTTATTTCTTTAAGGAGTAACAAAGTTAAAAACTCCATTTATAAAGATAATCAGGTATTATTTCTTAGGGT